ATAAGATATAATTTACAATGGCTGCACCATAAACCACATGGCCACATTCATCATTCAAGGATTTCTTATAATACAAAAGTATTACAATCTTATATAGTACTTTAGCATTTCCAAGACATGTTCACTTCTGTCTTTACAAACATTATTATTTGCCCCACTTTATAGAAAAGTAAGCAGATTTTAAAAAGATTCAGTAACTTAGCCCTCAGAAACACACTGATGTTGAGGTCTGATCAAATATTCATGCATTCTGATTATCTGACCACTTTGTTCATCTTCTTAAAGGATATACATTGTCCTGTAGAGTTATTCTCTCTCTGATGATTGCATCAGGGGACAAAGTTGTGTTGTAGCAGTAAGCATAACACACTCAGAAATACTATCTCCCCCCTGCCCACTATTCTTAGCCACTTCTTGCAGAAGACCTAACACTCCCACTTTGAATACAGTTGACCCTTGAACATGGGTTTGAACTGCACAGATCCGCTTACATATGGATTTTCTTCCACCTCTGCCACCCAAGGCAGCAAGAGCATCCCTCCTCTTCCCCAGCCTACTCAATGTGAAGATGGTGAGGATAAGGACCTCAAAGATGATCCACTGCCACTTAATGAATAGTAAATATACTTTCTATTCCTTTTGATTTTCTTAATAACAGTTCTTTTGTCCAGCTTACTTTATTGTAAGAATATAGTCCATAATATATATAACATACAAAATATGTGTTGACTGTTTACACTATTAGGAAGGTTTGCCGTCAACAGTAGGCTATTAATAGTTAAGTTTTGGGGGAGTCTAAAGTTGTATATGAATTTTTAACTGCGAGGGGGCCCTTAACCCCCATGTTGTTCAAGGATCAACTGTAGCTGGTACAAAGAGACTTCAAAACTAGGGAGCGATGTTTTGTTACAATACCTTCAGATTATGTATGATATCTATCCGCTTGTTCTGGCTGTCCTTAAAGTGAACTTGAACTCTGACGGGAAACTCACCCCAGCCTCTTCTGGTCAGGTGAAAAGGAGGCTCTCTATGGAAAAGCAGATATTATTAACACGTTCATCCATGTTCACTCTCTCATCCTACACAGGAAAAGTTTTCTGATAATGGATAAATCAGAAATTCACTGTCTTCTGAGAACCA